AAATGAGAAACATGCAAATTGACCGCTCCTCTGCTATGCCCAAGCCATGCTCACCAGCCAATCAGAGCGACTATATGCAAATTAACCCAACCAAGATGGCAGTGGCAGCCACGGAGCTGGAGCAAGCAGGAGGCTTGGTTGCCCCAATGATGGAGGAAGCCAAGCTTCCCGCCTGCCCTGGCCAGCTGTGGCTCCGCTCAAGGCAACAAAGTTTCAATTATAGAAGATAAATCCCAGAAACCTGCTTCCAGCCAGCCTCCACTGGGAGCTTGGGTTGCTGGGGGCCCATGGCCAGCCTGCAAACAGCCATCAGCCCCTCACCCAGGCTGGCCAGGCACCCCAGGGGAGACCCCTACCCTGATGGGGCTGTGGCCAGCCTGCAAACAGCCATCAGCCGCTCACCCAGGCTGGCCACACCCTCATGGGGTGAGGGTCCCCACTGAGGGGCTTGACAAGCCTGCAAACAGCCATCAGCCCCTCACCAGGCTGGCCAGGCACCTCAGCGGGGACTCCCCACCCTAAAGGGGCTGTGGCCAACCTGCAAACAGCCATTAGCCCTTCACCCAGGCTGGCCAGGCACCCCCAGCAGGGACCCCCCACCCTGAAGGGGCTGTGGCTAGCCTGCAAACAGCCATCAGCCATTCACCCAGCCTGGCCAGGCACCCCAGCAGGACCCCCCACCCTGATCCGGGACACCCTTCAGGGCCAACCAGCCAGCCCCTACCCATGCACCAGGCCTCTATCCTATATAATAAAAGGGTAATATGCAAATTGACCCTAACAGCAGAACGCCTGGGAATGACTGGTCACTATGACATACACTGACCACCAGGGGGCAGAAGCTCAATGCAGGAGCTGCCCCCTGGTGGTCAGTGCACTCCCACAATGGGAGCTCTGCTCAGCCACAAGCCAGGCTGCCAGCTGCCAGTACAGCGGTGGTGGTGGGAGCCTCTCCCACCTCCTCAGCAGCGCTAAGGATGTCTGACTGCAGCTTAGGCCTGCTCCTCCCTGGCAAGTGGACATCCCCCGAGGGCTGCCGGGCTGCCAGAAGGATGTCTGACTGCCAGCTTAGGCCCAATCCCCTGGGGAGCGGGCCTAAGCCAGCAGGTGGTCATCCCCCAAGGGGTCCCAGACTGCAAGAGGGCACAGGCTGGGCTGCGGGACCCGCCCAAGTGCACAAATTTTTGTGCACCAGGCCTCTGGTCCTGTATAATGAGAGGCTAATATGCAAATTGTCCCCTCAACCGGGAGTCCGACAAGGAGTTCAACTAGGGGACGGGGCCAGACGGCCAACCACCCGCGGCCCCTCCCCCTGGCCAGCCCCTCCCCTAATCAGTCCCCCAACCCCGATCGGGGGCAGGCTGGCCAGACCCTACCCATACACGAATTCGTGCACTGGGGCCTCTAGTCTATATATATAAAAAGCCAGCGACAAGAATGCCATAATGACCAGAATGACCAGTTGCTATGACGCTCACTGCAGCCAGCAAACTGGCTGATCAGGGGGTGGGGCCGGCCGGCCAACCTCCTGCAGCCCCTCCCCCCGGCCAGCCCTGCCCCTGATGAGCCCCCAACACCCCTATCAGCCTGCAGCCCTCTGTGCAGGAATTCATGCAATGGCCTCTATACATATATAAATTTACATTATGACTGATCATCAGGCAAGTTACTTTAACTAAGGACAAGATTAAGA